TTTGGGGGGAACCTGGGCCCGCCCTCTACTCTGGGTTCCAGCCCAGGGCCCTGTGGACTGCAGCTGTCTATAGTGCCTCCTGTAACAGCTGCATGACAGCTACAACTCCCTGGGCTACTTCCCCATGGCCTCCTCCAAACACTTTCCTTAGTCTCACCACAGAACCTTCCTCCTGGTGTCTGATAACACTTGTGCTCCTCAGTCCTCCAGCAGCACACCCTCTCACTCTCAGCTCCTTGCACCTCTTGCTCCCAGCTCCTCACACTCACACCACAAACTGAAGTGAGCTCCTTTTTAAAATCCAGGTGCCCAGATTAGCCTGCCTTAATTGATTCTAGAAGCTTCTTCTTAATTGGTGCCAGGTGTCCTAATTAGCCTGCTTGCCTTAACTGTTTCTAGCCGGTTCCTGATTACTCTAGTCCAGCCCCTGCTCTGGTCACTCAGGGAACAGAAAACTACTCATCCAGTGACCAGTATATTTGCCCTCTACCAGACTCCTGTACCCCTCTGGTCTGGGTCTGTCACAGTTAACTCAAGTTACATCAGCATACAGTCAGCACAGTTAGTATGTCCCTTTTGTGCATGCCTACTTGACTCATTTTCTCCAGTGAGCGTACTTACCAGAAGTGCTTGTATCGATTCAGAGTGTGGTGCACCATGGATGATAGGTATCCCACTATGCAATTCGCCACTGTCCACAGCACTGTATTTTGGGAAGTTTTGGCAACACATGCTGCGGCCCAAATGGGTCGCACAGGAATGACTTTGATCATGGGATCAACTTTCTATAAGGCAATGTTCACCATCCCCTAATTTTATATGTATTGCATATGTAAAATTATACATAATTTCCCCCCTTTTTTTCTTAACTCCCACAAACCCACGTGGCTCTCCTCACTGCCAGCCATCTCTGACAGACGCATGGAGCCTGCACAGCTCTGCATTATTGTCATGAGCGTTGCAAGCCCAGGGTGCATGATCTTGCAGTATTTGCAGAACTGCAAGAAAAGAAGGGAGATGATGATTCCGTGCAGGACAGATTTCTGTGGGACATAGCGACAACCAATTCAAACTTCTTGGTAGCATTCATGGAGCAACTACAGATGGTGGAGTATCAGTTCTGGCCCCAAGAAACAAGTTCCACCTGATGGGATCGCATCATACTGCAGGTTTGGGATTATGAGCAGTGGGTGCTGAACTTTTGGATGTGCAAGGTCACACTCCAGGATCTGTGTGCTGAACTCGCCAAAATGAGAACTGAACTGACTGTGGAAACTTGCAACACCAGATTGCTACCAGTCAGTCAGAGGTCTCTCAACTAGGGTTGCCAACTTTCTACTCGCACAAAACCGAACACACTTGCCCCGCCTCACCCCACCCTTCCTCCGAGACCCTGCCCCCCCCACTCACTCCATCCCCTCTCCCTTTTTCACTCGCTCTCCCACCCTCACTTGGGGGTTGTGGTACGGGGGGGTGAGGGCTCCAGCTGGGAGTCTGGGCTCTGTTGTGGGGCTGGGGATGAGGGATTTGGGGTGCAGGAGGGTGCTCCGGGCTGGAATCGAAGGGTTTGTTGAGCAGGAAGGGGATCAGGGCTGGGTCGGGGTTTGGGGTGCAGAAGTGTGTGTGAGGGCTCTGGCTGAAGGTGCAGACTCTGGGGTGGGGCTGAGGAGGAGGGGTTTGGAGTGTAGGAGAGAGCTCTTGGCTGGGGCGGGGGGATGAAGGCTGTGGCTGGAGGTGTGGGCCTGGGGATGAGGGATTTGGGGTGCAGGAGGGTGCTCTGGGCTGGAATCAAAGGGTTCAGTGAGCAGGAGGGGGATCAGGGTTGGGGCGCGGAGTTGTGTGTGAGGGCTCTAGGTGGGGCTGAGGATGAGGGGTTTGGCGTGTAGGAGGGTGGTCTGGGGTGGGACCGAGGGGTTTGGAGGGAAGGAGGGGGATCAGGGCTGGGGTTGTGACACGGGAGAGGGTTGGGGTGTAGGCTCTCGGTGGTGCTTACCTCAAGCAGCAGTTCCCAGAAGTAGCAATATGTCCCCCTCTGGCTCCTACAGGGAGGCGTGGCTAAGCAGCTCTGCACGCTGCCCTGTCCGCAGGCGCCAGCCCCACAGCTCCCATTGGCAGTGTTTCCCGGCCAATGGGAGCGGAGGAAACGGCGCTTGGGGCATGGGCAGTGTGCAGAGCCTCCTGGCTGCCTCTACGTGTATAATTTGGAGGGGGGACATGCTGCTGCTTCCAGGAGCCACACAGAGCACTGTTTATGCTGTTTAGGGGAACCCATTTCAGCGATCGCTGCAAGATTTGCAGGTCGTTTAAGCCTCGGACCATGAGAGAAAGGGACATTAGACTCCAGGCTATTCTGATGGAGTTGGCGCTGACCCCGGCTCCGGCATGCAGCTCTGAGTCAGCACCGGGCACCGCGGTGTCGGTGCGTGGCGACCCTTCAGTGCCATTGACTAGTCGGCACCACTCCCCATCATGGGGCATGCCAAGAAGGCTAGGAAGAGGCCTTCTTCGCAGCACCAGAGTAAACCCAGGACAGAGGCTAGACCCGGGAAGTCCTCGATCCCCACCAGCCTCTAGGCCTCCGACTCAAGTCAAGCGGAGTAGCCTGGCCTATTCAGAGTAGGCCTTCCCAGATGTCCGGATGCCCTCCACGCCGGAGGCCCTGCAGGCAGCCCAGGATGTTATGTCCATGCCTGTTCCAGGAGCACCACTGATGTTGGCCCTGTGCTCCAGAGGCAAGCCGCCGCTGGGATCTCCACAGTCACCCCCAGTTCGGTACCGGTTTCGGTTGAGGGAACGTTCCTGACACCATTTGCTGCCCAGCGTCCGTTCAGGGCAAAGTCCATGTGGATCGCCCTCAACGTCCACCAGGCTGTCTCGTTGGGTTCCATCTGACCAAGACTCTCAGCACCGCTCAGCCTTGAGGAGCGAACACCGACGGACCCAGGCAGATGACGCCAAAGGTCCTTGTCTGAAAGGGCCATTGCAACCGGTCACGGCACGAACGTCAACATCGTTCCCATTCATCATCCTGCTCCAGGACCCCACCATGGCACTGCCTCCACAGCCCCGGGCATCAATCTCCAGCGTCCTGCTGTCGTGGGTCCGCCCGCCAGAGCCGATCGCGGAACAGCTGTTACCGACGGTACCGGTCCTCCACATCGGGATTGCAGTCCCGTGATCAGCATTGCTCCCGGTGCCGCTGTTCCTCCCAGTCCAGGGACAGCAGCAGGTCATATGTCAGCCTGGCCTCCCTTCGTAGTTGTCCATCGATGGGCCAGGCCAGCCAGGCCGAACAGCCAGCTCCGCCAGTGCCACAGCAGGTACAGTGCCACCAGGCCCCATGGCCGGCCCAATGGTACCAGTGGGCACCATGGCCCCCGACGCAGCCCCCAGTGGGGATTCACTCGGTGGCCAGAACCTCAGAAGGACCATCAGCCTCCCTCTCCAGCCCTCCGAGGAAGGAGTCAGTGGGACGTACATCCTCGGCATCATGCCCAGAGACCGACCAGGTGATGGCCCCTCCTGTGCCAGTGGACAAAGTACCGCGCCGGCCTCCTCACCCTCCCCGGATGAGGCAATTACAGTCCCTCCATCCCGCAGGAGGACTTTAGGGCCCACCAAGAACTCTTAAAAAGGGTGCATCAAGCCTCCACCTCCAAGCAGAGGAGATGGAGGAGCCCTCGGACTCTCTGTTTAATGTACTGTCCTCCTCAGCACCGGGCAGGGTGGCCTTGCCTCTTCACAAAAGGATGGCGAAAATTTCAAATGCCCTGTGGCAAACCCCGGCCTCATTGGCCCCCATCTCTAAGAGAGCGGAATGCAAGTATTTTGTACCCACCAAAGGACATGAATACTT